AAAAGACGATGCAGTAAAAGTGCTACACTCAATTTGCCAGCAAATTTGGAAAACTCAACAGTGGCCACAGGATTGAAAAGGTCAGTTTACATTCCAATTCCAAAGAAAGGCAATGCCAAAGAATGTTCAAACTATCGCACCATTGCACTCATTTCACATGCTAGTAAAGTTATGCTTAAAATCCTACAAGCTAGACTCCAGCAGTATGTGGATCGAGAACTACCAGAAGTACAGGCAGGATTTCGAAGAGGCAGAGGAACTAGAGATCAAATTGCCAACATACGCTGGATCATGGAAAAAACTAGGGAGTTCCAGAAAAATATCTACTTCTGCTTCATTGACTATGCTAAAGCCTTTGATTGTGTGGATCACAACAAATTGTGGCAAGTTCTTAAAAAGATGGGAGTACCAGACCATCTCATTTGTCTCTTGAGAAACCTATATGCGGGTCAAGAAGCAACAGTGAGAACCGAACACGGAACCACTGATTGGTTCAAAATTGGAAAAGGAGTCCGGCAAGGCTGTCTACTGTCGCCCTGCCTCTTTAACTTATATGCAGAGCACATCATGAGAAAGGCAGGGCTAGATGAATCAAAAGTTGGAATTAAGATTGCCAGGAGAAATATCAACAACCTAAGATAGGCAGATGATACCACTCTAATGGCAGAAAGTGAAGAGGAACTAAAGAGCCTCTTGATGCGGGTGAAGAAGGAGAGTGCAAAAGTTGGCTTGAAACTCAACATTAAGAAAACCAAAATCATGGCATCCGGCCCTCTCAATTCCTGGCAAATAGATGGGGAAGAAATGGAGTAGTGACAGATTTTATTTTTCTGGGCTCCAAAATCACCTCAGATGGGGACTGCAGCCAAGAAATTAAAAGACGCTTGCTCCTGGGGAGGAAAGCTATGGCAAATCTAGACAGCATACTAAAAAGCAGAGACATTACCCTGCCAACAAAAGTGCGTATAGTCCAGGCCATGGTTTTCCAGTTGCAATGTATGGCTGTGAAAGTTGGACCATAAGAAAGGCTGAGCGCCAAAGAATTGAGGCCTTTGAACTATGGTGCTGGAGAAGACTCCTGCGAGTCCCTTGGACTGCAAGGCGTTCAAAACCGGTCAGTCCTAGAAGAGATCAACCCCGACTGCTCCTTAGAAGGCCAGATCCTGAAGTTGAAACTCAAGTACTTTGGCCACCTAATGAGAAGGAAGGATTCACTGGAGAAGAGCCTAATGCTGGGAAAGATTGAGGGCCATAGAAGAAGGGGACGACAGAGAATGAGATGGCTGGATGGAGTCACTGAAGCAGTAGGTGTGAATTTAAATGGACTCCAGAAGATGGTAGAGGACAGGAAGACCTGGAGGAATGTTGTCCATGGGGTCGCGATGGGTCAGACACGACTTCGCAATTAACAACAACAACATGTTGAATCCATTGTTTTAAATTTTGAGGTAGCAGGGGAATGAATACAGCTGTTAAAAAACTAATAGAGTACTAAATATCGATTTCTCACGTTAAACCAAATAAAAAGGAAATATTTTCAGAATAAAATGTTTATTCATGGCATTGGTTCTTGTATGGTGATGTGGTGATGGTAATGGTGACTATAATGATATTTATGATGATGATTGTAGTGTGTTTTATGGTTGAAACATGACCTTTTGCCTTTAACATGGAAGATGGAAAGACCATATCTTGATTGAGGATTAAAGATAAATCTTCTAGCTTTTTCTAAGCTGAAAGAGATGAAGTTATGTGCTGACAGCAAATAATAGTCTGAATCTAGTGCAATATGTTTCTTCTACATTGATCTGATACTGTTCTAAAAAAATATGGGAGACAGGGGTACTACCAAAGAAGTGAAATTGATGTAGTATTTTAACTGAGAGAGTAACAGAGGGATTTCTGAAGAAGTGTGTCTGTATCCATGAGTTAATGTGGAACCCATTGCCAAAAAATTCAGAACTTTTTTCAGGACCCAACAAACACCAGGCGGATGTTTCAAGGGATCCAGGCCATTACGGATTATAAGGTGGCTCCATTGAGATGCAAGGATGACACAGACTTCCTAAACAAACTGAATGCATTTTTTGGTAGATTGGCATCAAATAGCACTCCTGCTAGGAAAGCAGTGCCCCATCCAGATGAGCAAGTGTCAAGCTTTGATGTCACCTCTGTCCAGAAAACACTGCAGATAGTTAACATTTGGAAAGCAGCAGGCCCAGATAACATCCCTGCACGCGTCCTCAGGGAATGCGCAGGGGAACTAGCTTGTGTTCTCACAGATAGTTTCAACCTCTCATTGCAGCAGGCAGGGTCCCATCATGTTTTAAGATGGTTATTATCTTGCCAGTGCCAAAAAAAGTCCACAATTACAGGCCTCAATAATTACCGTCTGGTTGCACTGACATCCACCATCATGAAATGCTTTGAGAAGCTGATAAAGGACACTATTTCTAGACTCTCACCAGCTTTTGACTTGCTTCAGTTTGCCTACCAACCAAATCACTCTACGGAGGATGCTATATCTTTTGTTCTCCATCTGAGCCTGAAGCACTTACAGGAAAAAAATACTCATGTGCATTTGCTGTTTGTCGACTTCAGTTCCGCATTTAATACAATCATTCCCCAGCATCTAGTAGACAAACTGGGCCTTTTAGGCTTAAACACTCCTTTGTGCAACTGATTCTTGATTTTCTTACCAACAGGCCCCAATATGTGCATGTTGGAACAAATACCTCTAATACCATTTTCTTGAGCACAGGTTCTCCTCAGGGCTGTCTTAAGTCTGCTGCTGTTCACCCTGTTGACCCATGACTGTTGTGCTAGGTTTGCCACCAACCATATTGTGAAGTTTGCAGATGATACAACAGTAGTGGGCCTTATTCAGGATGACAAGGTAGAAGCTTACCGCAAGGAGGTTGAAGGGTTGGTGAACTAGTGTAAGGAAAAGAGCCTAGTTTTAAATACCAGAAAAACCAAAGAGATCATTGTTGATTTCAGAAAAGGTAGGCACAGCCACACTTCTCTGTGCATAAATGATTCACCTGTGGAGATGGTTACCAGCATCAAATTCCTGGGTATGCAGCTAACGAGTAGGCTGACTTGGTTGCTCAACAGTGAGAAACTGGTGAAGCAGACAGAGCAGTGCCTGCATTTTTTGTGCCGCATGAGAAAAGCAGCTCTTCCTTCCCCTGTCCTGACCACTTTCTACAGGGGGACAATTGAGAGCATCCTGTCATACAGCATCACAGTCTGGTTTGGAGGCATCATTGCTTCAGACAGGAAGGCAGTGGTGAGAATGGCTGAAAAGATCATTGGCAGTTCTGTCCTTCCCATCCAGGACATAGCACAGAAGCTCTGCTTGAGCAGGGTCCGTAAGATTATCTGGGACACTATACATCCTCTTCACAATCTGTTTTCCTTGTTACCTTATGGGAAGAGGCTTTGTGGTATCTGAAGCAGAACATCCAGATTCAGCCAGAGTTTCATTCCATACAGCATTAATCTTGCGAACTCTCAAGCTTCCTCCTTCTGTTATATATTCAAGATGGACAATATTTAATATTTATTGTTACGTATATGTAGGGATGTGGGTCTATACCAGTGGTTCTCAATCTGTGGGCCGGGACCCCATTTGGGGTTGAATGACCATTTCACGGGGGTTGCCAAATAACGCAGTCTGCAATTTTTTCCCCTTTTCCTTAGCTGTGCTACTCCCTTTTATTCTATTGGCTTTTGAAAGCTAATAGAATAGACTCTCTTGAATAGAGTCTAATTCTATTGGCTTTCAAAAGCCAATAGGAATTGTCCAGGCTGTCTCTGCCCTGCTGAGCCCGCCAAAAGTCCCATTCTGCAAACGGTGCTGCAAATTGTCTGCAGCGAAGGTGAGCAGTCTGGAAGTTTCCACCCTTCCCTGCTGAGCAACTACTAAAAGTGTTGGTGCTGCCCCCTGTGTAAATGTAAGTAAAAGAGGGACAGGGGTGGGAGGTGGGAGGCTGGCGGGCACAGGGAGGGTTGCTGGCACGCGAGGGGCCCAGTGGGCGCCTTACCTCCCTTGGGCTGGGCCAGCTGGTGGTCCAGCTGGTGATCTGCCTGCGCCATCTCTGCTGCTTGCCAGTTATGCCTTGGCCGGCGCAGGGGGCAGCACCAAGCATTTGCAGCTCTCCCAGACAGGGAAAGTCCTCGACTTATGACCGGTTGGGTAGTCCTCAACTTACGACCGGTTGGGTAGTCCTTGACTTACAACTGGTTGTGGGTCACGGCATTAAAAAGGTTGAGAACCACTGGTCTATACATATGTTGTTCATAGTATGTTTAGGTGTGTGTCATGTATGTGTTTCACTTTGAGAGCAGGCAACTACATTTCATTTTTGATGTGTGCCATTGTGCCCACAGTATAAAAATGACAATAAAGGTTATCTTATCTTATCTAATTAGATGCACGACCAAACACCCAAAACAAAGCATCATAAAAATGGGTGGTTTCTTTGATACAGCCAGATATGTGCACCACAAATAATGGGAATCATTTTCCTTCAATCTACTCATGAAATTGTTGAAAAGGGAGAAAAGACCCCAATGAGATAGGTTTCCTTCAAATTCTCAGAGAAAAGCAATAAATAAAGAAGAAATTCACAAGGCCAGATTTTACAATGGAATCTAGACAAGTAAAAACACCATCATTATTTCTACAGTGCAAATGTTCTTACTTCTCATGGGATAATTAATAAACTCAGGAGACCAATTAAGAAATTCTCAACTTTCAAATTCTACACCTTGGACAACAGGAAACAGAAAAGTGGAGAAGATAAAATTCAAATGTAAGTCCTGCACATGGATGGTATCTGTCTCCTGAGAAGATATGTATGATTGAATTTAACATCATATCCCAAAGAAAGCAATACAATAACATAGGTACTAAATTCATATCAATATATAAATTGTGTACCTATACATGTTTCACAACTAAGAACATGTACAACAATTTGAAACTAAAAATATATAGAAAGCAGCAATTAGAATTTATTATACACTGTTTTCTATAAAATGAGAAGCAAGGGAGTATTGGGTAAATTTCTTAAGAAAATGTAACAGATTTTTTTCTCCTCTCCTCTGAAAAAAAGTCCTTTCAGTTTTGATCCTAGAGTGAGGTATTGTAAACCAAATATGTAAAACTATGCTTGTAAAATTGAGTCTTCAAAATGTACTTAAATTTAAACTGCATTATCTGTTTAATGTGTGACTTTTCTTAATTTGAGTCAATGTGCTACTTGGAATGGTGGGAACTCTTTCTATAAGACTGGGGGACTGGTTGAGGAAATTAAGACAAGTATACTGTGATAGGTATGCCAAATCTCTGGAATAGTATTGACTAGCTAATAAAATTTAGTCTTCACGTTCATTTTCAAACATTCAAGACTTCCCTCCTCCTTATTTTCTTTATATTCTTTTTATGACTGTATAGTTAGGCTTCATTTTGTTAAATGATTATTGTAAAATGGAACTAAAAATGAAAAATTGGAACAATGGCAGGTTTAATTTTCATCTTTATGTATGATGTGTACTTGTCCTTAAATAGTTGAACTTTTTTTTCTTCCTAGTGTTTTCCTGCAAGTTTATATCAGCCTAGAGACAATCCATTTGTTGTGGCAAGAATTGACCAAACAGTTTGTCACTCAGATCTAATATTGTGGGCTGAGAGAGACTGGCTTAAAATAACCCAGCCAGGTTTCATGCTTAATGTAGGATTGGAACTCACATTCTCCTAGTTTCTGGCCTGGTGGTTTAACCACTAAACCATAATGGCTCTTATTAATTTAAATTAAAAATATGTGCCTAAATTTTGGTGACAATCTTTCAAATTTGTTATATTATCTTTAACATATAGTTCTATTTTTGTTTTTTATGTTAATTTCTTTTTCTTAAAAAAGGCCATCAGCTATATGTTATATCCTTATAAAGTATAAATTTGTTTATTTGATCTCTCTCTCTCTCTCTTTTGAAATTCCTACACAGTGTGGAAATGGAAAATCAGACGACCACAGTGACTTCCTTTATCCTTTTGGGATTTTCATACAACCTGTCAGTCAATACTTTCCTCTTCCTTGTATTTTTCCTTATATATGTCACAACTTTGGTAGGAAATATGATGATTATGGTGGTTACAACTTATCTTCCAAGCCCCATGTATTTTTTTCTAGCACATCTGGCTTTCCTTGATATTTGTTTTTCTTCTGCTACTGTTCCAAAATTGCTAGTCATGTTCTATGCAGGCCAGACTATTTCATATTCTGCTTGCTTTAGTCAAATGTTCTTTGTCTTTCTCATGGGGACCACTGAACATTACATCCTTGCAGCAATGGCTTATGACCGATATGCTGCCATTTGCAAGCCCCTCCATTATGTGCAAATTATGAACAAAGCATTTTGTAGGGTGCTGGTGGGTGGTGCATGGGCAACTAGTTTCTTATGTTCCACAATAAATGTGTTACCTATTTTGAGGTTAAGTTTCTGTGGACCTAATATTATCAGGCATTTCAGTTGTGAGTTTCCAAATCTTCTTGCACTTTCCTGCTCAGAAACTTTTCTCAATAAACTGGCATTCTTCATGACAGGAAGTGCTTTTGCAGGTAGTTCATTAATTATTATTCTACTTTCATATATCCATATCATTTCAACTATCCTGAAACTGAACTCTGCAGAAGCAAAAAGAAAAACTTTCTCTACCTGTAGTGCTCACCTTATTGTTGTGGCTTTGTATTATAGCACTGGATGTTTTAGGTATATGAGGCCTAACTCAGCCTCTTCAATTATTGTAGATGAACTCTTCTCCATTCAATATGGCATTTCAACACCCATGATAAACCCCCTTATCTACAGCCTGAAAAACAGAGAAGTGAAGGTAGCCATCAAAAAGCTAATGGGCTACAAATTATAGTTATCTAAAATCTAAACTGTTTTGTTGTTAAACATGTTGACCAGTTGTTTTTACTGAGCAGAAAAATAAATAAAACGCATTGGAACTTTCCCCAAATCTTGTTGTTTGTGCAGGTGAATAGATACAATTTAATCTTGGTTTAAATTAATTGAAGTATACACATCCTCAACCAGGGTTTTTATTTTCCAAGATGGGCTCAAGAGTTTTCTGTCTCATCATATAGTATTTTTGGCCAGGCTTTTCTGTCACTTCAACCAGTGACTAGTTAAATCTGGCACCACACTCTTTTTTCATTGTCCTTGGAGGGAGCCAGTTAAATCTGTCCTGTGTTTTTCTTTCTTTAGTTGTGTGCTATGATGTGCAGTGCAAACATTTTTCTCTGACTGGATGGGGAATTAAAACAAAATTGTTGACATCCATTTCTTTTCAAACATTATGGCTACCCTGATTCTCCTCAATATTTTTATTTTATTTTATTTTATTATTTTAGCGTAAGATAAAAACTGGATTAATAGGATTCATGATTTAGACTCAACAATATTTGTCCCTTGGACACAATTCATTTATTTATTTCAGATTCAGAAACATGCATTTATATCTTTATATTGCTTGCATCTAAAACTATATGTGGATCTATGCAGAATAACTGGTCTGTCTGTTAATCTATTAGAAAGTGAAGCACACGAGAACACAGACACATACATGTATATATTCAATTCTCATCCCTTTGGGTGGTCTATATCTTCCTTATGGGGTAGGAACAGTACTTAGTCACCTTAGACCTGATGAAACTCAGGTTCCTGTTGCGTATTACTTGTCTTCTGCTGAGCAAAACTATGCCCAGATAGACAGGAAGGCCTTAGCTGTTGTTGCTGGAATTAAAAAAATCCATGATTTTTTATATGGCAGGTATTTCACGGTCTACACTGACCATAAGCCTTTGTTGGGGTTGTTTACCACAAACAAACAAATCCCCCATATCATCTCCCCTAGGATGCTGAGATGGTCCATCTTCCTGACTTTTCCCTAATTCACAAACCTGGCAAAGAATTGGGCCATGCTGATGGCCTCAGTAGGTTACCCTTACAGGTAGTGGAGGCTGATCCTGCCCCTGCCATCAACATCCTTTCCATTCAGGCGTTGCCTGAGTCACCTTTAAATGCCAGGGATGTGACTGCTAAATCAGCCACAGATCTCACACTCTCTTGCGTCTTATCATGGGTTTTGTCTGGATGGCCAGAGAGTTGTCCAGGTACTGAGCTTCAGAACTTCTGGCTTAAGAGAAATGAGTTATCCACTTTTCAGGGTTGTCTACTGTGGGGCAGCAGAGTTGTTATCCCTATCTCAATGAGGTCTCGAGTCTTAGGTTCCCTTCATAAGGGCCATTATGGCATTGTAAGAATGAAGGCGCTTGTGCGCAGCCATTTGTGGTGGCCTGGGTTAGACAAGGAAATTGAGGCTAAGGTGCACACATGCTACCTTTGTCAGCGCTCATGCCCAGAAATGCCCCAGGCTCCTGTACATAGATGGGAGGACACAGAGTCACCAGGGTGCACATTGATTACGCTGGGCCCTTTCAGGGTCAATTTTTCTTGGTAATTGTTGATAGCTATTCAAAGTGGCTTGAGGTTGTACCTGTCTCTTCAACCACCGCTGCCAAGACTATTCAAGTACTCAGGGGGATTTTTGCTGCACATGGGCTTCCGGATGTGTTGGTGTCTGACAATGGCCCTCAATTCACCTCTTCCGAATTCCAAGCTTTCTTACAGGCCAACATGATTCGTCATGCCACCTCTGTACCTTTCTACCCTTCCACCAATGGTATGGCTGAACGGATGGTCCGCATCACCAAGGATGCTTTAAAGAAACTGACCTATGGAGACTGGCATCACAGGTTGGCAGACTTTCTTCTTGCGCACTGCACCACACCTTCAACTTCTACTGGGAAAAGCCCAGCTGAACTTTGCTGGGGGCGCAAACTGACTACTAAACTTGACCGGTTGCACCTGAACAGACTGTCTCCTAAGGCTACACAACCCAGGGCACCGAGGTATCTGCAAGTGGGTGCCCCGGTATGGACCCGTAATTACGGGCCAAGTCACTTGTGGGTTCCTGCTGTAGTATGCAAGGTTACTGGCCCTTTGTCCTACGAAGTCTTGTTGGATGATGGTCGTGTCCTTCGGCGGCATATCGACCAGCTGCATACAAGACTGGACTTACCCTCAAAAACTCCTGGACCTTTTCCGGGGGGGAAGGAGACCACTATGGGCAAAGGGATGGGCCATCCAGCAGCCGGGCCCAAACAGAGAGACCACAGACGGCCTATTCCAAGATTCTGCAAGTGTTCCAAACAGGAATCCATGGGAAATAGGAAGCACACAGGCACCAGTGCCTACTCCAGTCAGGGAGTCACCCAGGGGGCATACTCATCATTCACCCATACCATTCAGCACTCCAGTCAGGGAGAATAACCGGGAGCATCCTAATAACTCAAACATTGCAAGAGAGCTGGCACACAACCACTCTAGTTGGCCCAGTACTGCTACTGTTTCCAGAAGGAGGTATTCACACAGGGAAGTGGCCGGAGAGGCACATCCCAATTCTGACACCTCCGGCATAGATGGGGGGGCAACTGAGTTTTGGGGAAATACTGAAACCCCAGACAGTCCCGTTATGGGCCTGGGGAGCGAAGGAATGCAGCCCCTTGATAGGTCCAGTGTGGGCCTGGGAGGCTCTACAGAGTTGCCTAACAGTGGCAGTTTATTAGAGGGCCCAGAGAGCCTGCAACTAGGCAGGTCAACCAGGTTATTGGGAGAAAAAAGTCCTGGTCTGGCGAGCCCGGTGGGCAAGCAAGCAGACCAGGCAATGGGGCACAGTCCATGGGGACCACCAGGGTCTGAAAGAGGGGGCAACTTCATGTCATCCTCTGGGCAAAATGGAATTGGGGTCTAAGGAGGTCACAGAGAATCAAGAGATCTCCTAAGTACCTTGAGGACTTTGTAACTCTGTTGGCAAAGCAGAAACAGTGAGAGGGTGTCTGCTGTTGGGAGCAATGAAAATCCGGGCATTGGGTATTAATGTCCAGAACAATAGCCTGGTACCATTGGAGCATGGGTTGGCACACCACGCTCATGTTGAGGTCTCATGTAACTATTCATATAGTTTATTAGTCTTAGCCGGGGGGGGGGAGGGGTGTTGTGTTGCAAGCTGCCGGGACCAGACTGGCGCCGGCTTCGCGCACTTGCGCAAGGCACAGAGCGCGCCAAATGTTGCCATTTGGTCCGGGGAAGCGTTCTTAAGAGAGGCAGAGAGGCCTGCGTGCCTCAGAGCTGAAACAGAGCTGAAGAAACAACAATAAAGGCTTCTTGACACTACGAGATGCTCTGTGATTTATTGCCATTAAGCTGAGGACTCAACACCTACATTGGGGTATTTTCAATGTTAAGTAATAATCCATTTTATCCAATCCACATCATTTTATTTTTTTTTCTGTAAATGATAGCTAAATTAGGGTCATTTTTGTTTTGTCTTTGGCATGTGGGTTTTACACTTTAAGGTGGCTTGGGGCAATGTTGGTCACTGATGAATAAGGAGTATGTAGTATATACTGTGGCTCTCTAAATTTTGAGTATGTTATGAGATATACACATTATCTAGTAGATGAAGGAAGCTGGAACCATCATTTATTACATCCATTTATGTCAAAGTACAAGAGAACTCATTGAAGTATTTACAGGCATCTATCAATAAACTCTCTAGTTCATTTAGACATTATTTTGGAACAGATGACTTGCAAATTCACATTTGATATATATGTTGGCTGATTGGTCACAAATCTAAGTAGTGGTTGACAAAGCCCAGGTAATTTTTAACCACTAGGAGGATAAGCATTATTTCTCACTAACTGGGTTCCTTTCCAACTCAAGGCCACAACTTGAGTTATATATATAAATATTTATCCATCAATGTAAAATCTGTATTCACAATATTTAAACCATAACTCAAAGTGTCTTTCTCATTTGGAACCATTAGGAAAATTTGGTCAGGTAGTTAGACTATGGTTTATTCAAATTGCATAATTATATGGCTTCTATTGCTATATTGACTCTCATGTATCCGTGTCAGTTGATATATGTCTTGAAAGTACGGGGGGGGGGATTACAATGTTTTATACAGAGTCAATTGGATTGTTATGTGGTGCATAGAAATTGAATAAAATAAAGTAGCTGAATGACAAGAAACTCTATTTCTGCTATGTGATGCCCTTTAGTAACCACTTGATCCCATCACTTGCACTATATAGCAACACATAGCAAAACTGTCTCAAAGCACAGGAGTTGGAGGTCTCAAATTCTTCCCCAGGATTTCTGGGCTCTCATAATACAATCTTATCTTTTTCACTCCAATTAGCAGCATGGTCATTACTATCATCACTACTTATTTTCATCTCATCTAGAGTCCTCCCAAAACATTTTCAAAAGAAAAAAAAACTTTTTGTTATGTCACTATGCAGCTAAAAGATTCAGTTCTTCTTCCACCCTCACCCTCTGCAAAGCTAGACCTTCTAATGGAGCTTCAACCAATAAAGAAATCTTCATTTTGACCATGCTCTTTTCTTATGGGGAACTCCAGAGGTTTATGAGAGCTATTAGGAAATCTGTGAGACAGGGGTGTTGTCTTACCTGAACGCCTTTTCTCAGCAGGATGATGGAGAATCCACGGATGGGTTGTCTTAATCTATCTGCTCCAATTAGACTCTGAAATTTTTGTACCACCCCCTCTGTGCCAACTGCACCCCAGTTTTAGGCTAAGGCGATACTTTAGTCCGACGCGTTTGATCAATAGGGGAACCAGGCCAACTGACCTTATGGGAGGGAGTGGATTCTCCATCATCATGCTGAGAAAAGGCGTTCAGGTAAGACAACGCCCCTTTCTCCAGCATGATTGGATGGAGAACCCACGGATGGGACATACCAAAGCCCTGTGTCCCTAGGGTGGGTAATTAGATTGGGCCTGGGTCCCATCCAACATTAATGCGTGTTCTAGAAACTTGCGGCCAAATAAAGCTGTAGAAGAGGCAAATATATCCA